ATTTGTGAGCATGAGACGTAACTTGTGCAACTTTGCTATCCCGACCAGACCCTAGTAGTACATCTTTTTAGTTGAGAGTGTATGGGTAGCTCCCTACATGTACTCCTAGACTACCTTAGGTGTGTTGTTTAGGTAGCAAACTAGTGATATGTGATATGTGACTGGAGCCACATGCATACATTTATGAGTCGAGTCTCTAACATCATTGCATGATGAATGACTATGTATGTGTAACTTGAATTTGCACCTGGTTAATATATAACTATGACTGTACTTAGTATTGTGTGTGTGTGTTGCTTGACTGTTATTTTTACACCTTAACCTAAGTAAGATGTTTCTCACTCTCTTATTTGTTCTATGTGTGTATTCTATTATGTTGCAGATGACCATCAACATGAGGATGTTGGTGATGAAGCTTAGACTTCAATTAGGCGTGCTCTGATAGGATATGTGACATCGAGGCGTAGTTAGGACTAGTTTAGGATGTTGTTTCCAATGAACCGTTTTCAAAAAATTAGTTTCATTCCTTTGTAATTTCTACATTTGAGCTAGTGTTTATAAATTTATGAATGTGAATCTTTTACGTTAGATATTTGAAATTTTGGTTTTATTTATAAAAGATTTTAATGATTCTTATTTATTATGTAATTATAAATGTAGGGTAGAGGGTGTCACAGATTAAGTTTAGGAGTTGATCGAGTAAATGGTTAAATTTTTTAGTTATGGATAGGCAAATCAAGTTCAAGAGCTAAGGAGATGTAATCAAAGCAAAAAAAAGATAGGAAGATACGGGTCGGGTAGAGATGATATTAGGTCAACAATATTCGTAGTATGGTTCATACTCTCCTAGCTTAGAACTCATGAGAAAACAAGCAGATGATTTAAATTTGTCTTGCCTTAGGAAAAATGTATGACTAGATAATTTAGGTGAGCCATTAAGTGGTCAACAATGCCTAGCACAGTCCTTATGAACGTTATTTTCTATAAATGAAAAGGGCTTCTTTTTGTAATTTTATTTAAAGAAAAAAAATTTGCATAAGGATTTAAGGTAACAAATGGTTAACCATTAAACACTTGTACAACAACATTATTAATTATTGCATATGTATTTCTTAACATTTTATCAAAAGATGATAACTTTCATTTTTTTATGCATTTTATTAAAAAAATATATCCTTATACAAAATTAATTTAACAAATAGCTAGTCATCAAATTCTCACAATCAAATAATGTCAAAAATAAAACTATTATTCAATTGATACTATTAATTATTGTATATTTAAATATTTTTTTAATAAAAAAACATTTTTATACAAGGTCTTCATTTTGATATAACATTAAAATATATGATAGCAACTGGCTATTCATATGCCTATGATTATTTATTCAAATGACATCAAGATTACATTTATTATTCAATGATATCATTAATTTTGAAAATGAAAAAGTAATTATTTTTTATGTGAAGAAATGAAAAAAAAAAAAACTAAGATCAACCGAAACATCAAAATATTAAAAAATAAATGGCAATATTGAAGCTTATTGTGAAAAAAAAACCTAATAAAAAAAAGACTAAAGGAAAAAATTATACAAACCTCCGTGTGATATGAACACAAGAATTTCACAAATTCATAATATAAAAAGGGGGGAAATGCAAACTAAATAAAGAAAAAAAAACTTGACTTATAAAGCTAAATGAGATCAATGAAAAAACAAAAGAAATGCATAGCATTATGAAGTAAACTATTATTATTAAGTTAATGAAAAGTAATACATAAAAAGAAAAGGCATTTTTATCTGACATATACAAATTAAATTGACATGGTGAAATACATCAACATCACATATATACTTTCAGCTTAAAACATTTTTCAGAACATTCTTCTTGTGATGTTTTTCTTTGTGATTTTTCTCCCTCTCTAAAGAGTACATTTTCTCTTCTTAAATAGCCAAAAGAATGCAACCGTTGGTAACAAACTTATCTCTTTAGACCAAGTATTTTCGACAAGTTTCTCTTTTTTTTTGGTACTAGTCACTAATCACTAAAAGTGATCATTACTGTTTTATCTTTATCAAAATTGACTCATATGACTTCCTTACTTTTAGCTTGGTGACTCTTGGCTCTCCTTTGATTGTACTAGACTTATTCTCTTGTAATGGTCAAATCTTCTAAATTTTTTCTAAATTAAAAATATGTTGATCTTGTGACAAGTATATAGGCATCACAATCTAACCCGCTATTGTGGGTACCTGCCCGAAGCCTCCCCGGTTTGATAGGGAAAACTCGTTGTCGGGTTCAGGTTTTTCTCGATTGATAAAATCGGGGACAAGGGCCAGGACGAACATGTTAATACCCGCCCCGCCCCGACCCCGTACCCGCCTCACCCCCGCCCCACTTAATAATATAATTAAAATTTTATTTGTATGAATATATATATAAACCAAAATTAGAAATATTTATATGTAAAAATTTGTATTTTTTACTTTTCTTTTATTTATTTAAAATTTATTCATATATATTTAAAAGAAAATAAAAATAAAAGATAGGAGCGGAGGCAGGGGTAGGGCGGGAAAACCCAAACCCACCGGGAACGGGGATGGATACCCAGATTTTACCCCCAGCGGGTATTGGGGGCGGGGGCGGGAAACGTAAAACCGCCCTCGCCCCGCCCTGTTGCCATGCCTATACAAGCATACCAAATCAACTTGTAACAGTGATGAGAAAGGTCATCTCCTCAAGAATTGAGTTTAATTGATTGATTCTCAATTAGTTTAGATAAGTAAGAAATGAATATATACACTACATTCATACATGTTCAACGTTTTATTCATTAAACTTAAAGTTCAAATTAATGAAACTTAAAATAAGTGTCAAACATGTAAATAAGTATTAGAGAAATTCATATATGATATGTTTGGGACTATATTACACCTACTACCCCTTTTTTGTAACTTTACTAGACATACATATGTTAATCTTTCTCCTACAATACTATCTAGGATTTTAGTCACTAAATACTAATTCCTTAGTAGAGAAATTATAAATTTTTCATCTTAAATATCAATTCCTTGCATATTCAAAAGGGAGAACTTGCATTAAGAAAATCTTTTAAAGACTAATGATTTTAGCTCTATTTAAAGCAACTTAAACCATTAGGTGATTCATTTTAAATCATGATTTAGAAAATATTTTTTAATCAAGTTCTAAATATGAGCAATCAACACATAAAGAAATTAAGAACATAAATGAATCACTAATAAGTAGAAGAGATCATAACATATATGTGAAAATCAAGAGTTACATTAAGGTGCAATAGATTACATGCATCAAATCTAGAAAAGAAAAAATTAGATACTCATTTCTATGAGAACCAACTAAGATAAGAAGAAAAAAAGAAGAATCTAGTAGAAATTGACATCATTTTTGTTTCTGAACCATTAGAATTGCTACCAAAATCTTCAACTTTGATGGTCTTTAAGGTTAGGGAGAGAATGATGGGTGAGGTGTGAAAGTTTAAAGAGAGTATTTTAGGTCTTGCTCTTTTCCCCCTTTTATATCATGATTTGTAACGAGATTATTTGCTATCACAAATTGGCTTAAACAATTTCAAAATGGCTCATGCCCTTTTTGAATGCTTCACCATGAAGAAAGTAAATGGATTAAGCCCTTCTAAAATGGCTTAAGCCTTTTTCAATAGATTGAAATCAATTATTTTGAAATGATTTAATTCCTTCTATTTTGGCTTAATCCTTTTTAAGTTAGTAGAGACAAACATTTTTCTGCATAAGTCTTTTCTAACTTCATTTTTTTCCTCTTATATTTTGTCTTGATTTCTCTCCTTTTAACTTATAAAGCAAAATCACCATAATTAACCAAAAAGTACTATAATTTATTGGATTGAGCTTCTATATTATAATTGCATAACTATATATTCACATCCTTGGGAAAAGTTTTAAGGAACAAGGGGTGAAAGCATGTCATTTTACACAAATAATATTAATAATATTCAAGTAAAAATGACACTAACAAAATATACTTGGATAAAACTGGTGACTCACAATATTAAATTTTAATAATCCAACCATTAAATTAAAATTTCTAAATGAATAGATAAGTTTACAAATTTTATAAAATTTTAAAATTATTTAATTCTTTATTACATTAATTCAAATTAACTCATGTTTATAAAAACATATTATATGTTAATTCCAATTAATGAAATATCAAATAGTTTTCAAATTTTATAAACTTTTATAAATTTAATCTATTTATTGAAAAATTATAATTTAATAGTTAGATCATTAAATTAATATAAAATATAAATTATTAAGTAAAGTAACTCTACTAAACTTACTTTTAAAATAAATGAATTCATACTTATATATATATATTCACCAACATATTTTTTTTAATTAGAGTATATTAACAACTTATACCAAAACTTTGTAACCAAAAACTCATTCATACCTTTTATTCTATCAAAATTATTGAGGTTTATTATCGTAATTTATAATATATTTTTTAAAAAGTATTAAAAAAATAGTGTTTTTGTCTCCTGGTCTATTCCACTTTTCTTTCCATGCAATCAACAATTTCGAGTTCTATGGAGTGCCACGATCTTTGAACAAAAAAAAAACACTAAATAAAAATAGTACAGGCCATATTCTCTCATTAACAAAAAATCACTTAACCTTCATGCATTGAACCACTATGGATGCATGCTAAAAAAAACACATGTAAAAGTAACTTTACTTGGTTGTTAGAAAAGTTAGTTGAGTTGTTTTGTGTCCATCTATATATATATATATATACAAGATCATGTTCTCAAGGATATATATATATATATATATATATATATAGCATAGTCTCTCTTTTGTATTGTATTAGGTTTTCCTTTCAATAATAGAAGAGGTTTCTTTCTCCTCTTTCTCTGTTCTCTCAAAAGGAGAATTATTCCTTTACATGGTATTAATTACGCCACGATCCTAGGTCTTTCTCATGGCTTCCACAGAAACTCCCTTTCACCCTCATGTCTTCTCCAATGTGATCTCATCCAAATTAATGGATGATAATTTTCTCACCTGGATGCAACATGCAGAAGTGACGATCAAGGGTTTTTGCTTGCAAAGACACATCGATGGAGCGAAATCAATTCCTGCAAATTTTTTTACTACAGATGATGAACGGGAGGGTTCGGTAAATGTTGCATTCGAAAATTATGAGCAACAAGACAATCTATTGAAATATTGGTTGCTTGAATCTATGGATCCACAATTTAAGATCCGTATGGTTGGATGCGTATGGTCGCATCAGATCTGGCATGCTTTGAAAGTGTATTTCACTTCTCAGACAAGAGCACGTGTCAAGCAATTAAAAATTCAACTTCGCAATGTCAAGAAAACTGGATCGATCGCCGAGTATCTCGTACAGGTGAAACAAATCATCGAGACCCTGGCTGCAATTGGATCGTCGTTATCAGTTAAAGATCACATAGATGCAAACTTTGATGGTCTTGACGAAGAATATGATGGATTCATCACTTCGTGTATCACATGTACTGAAGCATACACTATTGCGAAAATTGAAGCTCTATTGATGCATCAAGAAGAACATCTTGAGAGGCATAAGAAACATGAGTTGTCCACTCCTCAAGCAAATGTTGCTCAATTTCAACACAAGAAAGTTAATCTTGTGACCAATCGTAGGCATGGACGTGGTCAGAATCATGGAAGAGGCAGATCTGGCCGCTCGAATCAAAATAGCTTTGGTGGAGGTCGTGGGCAACGAATTCAATGTCAATTGTGTGGCAAATTGGGACATTCTTCCTATCATTGCTGGTCTCGTTTTGATGAAAATCTACCAGATCCTAAGACTACTCAGAACAACACATCTGATGCTATTATACAAGAGCCTCTCAATCAAGCTATGATAACAATCTCCGCAACTCAATCTTCTCTGGATGACACATGGTACCCGGATACAGGTGCAACAAATCATTTTACTAATGATTTATCAAATCTAATTATCAAAACTCCTTATATAGGATTAGAGAAGGTAGTAGTTGGTAATGGTAATTGCCTAAGTATCCATAATACTGGCACAAAACTCAAAAATCATTCCAATAACTTTGCTTTTACTCTTAATAAGTTGTTACATGTATCGAATATCACTAAAAACCTATTAAGTGTTGCAAAATTTGCAATAGAAAACTCATGTTTCTTTGAATTTCATTCCACTGCTGCTTTGTTAAATCTCGGGGCTCTTGGAAGCTTCTGCTACAAGGGAAACTTAAAAATGGTCTATATGCTTTTGAGAATTTGCAAATTGTTCATCCTAATAATGATTTTCCTATTTCAGCTTTATATTCATCTAACACATGTAATAGTTTACCAATTTTGCACTTTAGGCTAGGCCATTGTGCAAACAAAATTGTCAAGCATGTCTTAAAACAATGTAATATCCCTATACCAATACATGACAATGCTTCTATGTGTGGTTCTTGTTGCGTAGGAAAAATGCATAAATCTATATTAATTTCTATTTTTGAAACTGTCTATATTGAGCCATTGTAGTTAGTATATTCTGATATTTGGGGACCATCACCCATACCTTCAAAAGAAAGATATAGATATTACATATTGTTTCTTGATGCATATTCGAAATTCTCTTGGGCTTACTTCTTAAAATATAGGTCTCAAGCATTCAACTCTTTTCTTGAATTTAAAAAGATGGCAAAGTTACAATTTTAAAAGAAATTGAAAATTCTTCAAACAGATGCTACAAAAGAATACCAAAGTTTTAGTTTTGTACTCAAAGAGAATGGCATAACTCATAGATTTATTTGCCCTCACACGCATGAGCAGAATAGTGCTCCTGAGAGGAAGCATCATCACATTACTGAAACATGTCTCACTTTATTAGCTGAATCTGGTTTGTCGTTTGATTATTGGTGTTATGTGTTTGCTTATGCTATATTTGTTATAAATCGCATTCCTACACCTATTCTAAAATTAAAATCTCCTTCCGAAACTTTATTTCATAAGAAACCATATTACAGTATATTTAGAAGTTTCGAATGTAGGTGTTATCCATATCTTAGACCTTATAATCAATATAAAATGGATTATCGGTCTAAACCATGCATCTTTCTAGGTTATAGTTGTAATCATAAGGGTTATAAATGTCTTGATTCAACAGGAAGAATTTATATTGTTAAGCATGTTGTACTTGATGAATTTGATTTTCCTATACATAGTAAAATACACGAAGATCTAAGTTGTCATCCTACTTCCAGTAATACACATCCTTCTATTATACCTATTGTTTCTAGTTGTCTCAAATTGAGGATACTCCTCCACCTACAAGTCATTTGACCAATATCCCTGTGGTTCTGCTTCCTAACAATGTAGGAACTATTTTAACTGAAAATACACATAATTCCACTGTTGAGACTAATTCTAATACAAGTCCTAGCCATGGAGCTACACCCTTAGTCATCAATAATCATCTTATGGTCACAAGAGGCAAGGTTGGAAATTTTAAACCAAAGGTCATGGTTGCTGAAATGGAACCAAGTACAGTTAGAGAAGCTCTTCAATCTCCTAAATGGGTTCAAGCTATACACGAAGAACTCAACGCCTTAGTCAAAAATCAAATGTGGGATCTTGTCTGTAGGAAACCCGTGGGATCCAAGTGGATTTTTAGGCTCAAACACAATCTTGATGGAAGCATTTCTAAACATAAGGCAAGGCTAGTGGCAAGAGGATTTACCTAGCAACATGGTTTGTATTATCAAGAAACTGTTAAGTTAGACAAAGAAATTCCCAACACGGTTTTGAACATCACAACTATAATGCACCACGAATTTATTCGTGGATATTTATCAACAGATAAATCCGTAAGTTATTATTTTTTATTGATAATTTATGTTAAAAATAATAAAATTAATTTATAAGTAATAATGATAAATAAAAAATAAATTAGATAAAAAAAATTAAAAAAACATATAAAATTCTTCTAGTTAAAGAAAAGTCTCTAAAAACACTATAGTACAAAAAAGACATTTGTGCTTTATATATATAGAAGTTAATTATTCTTTGATTAGTTACTAATTTTAATTTAATATATGTTTATACAAATTTTAAATATGATTTATTAATTTAACTATAATATTTATTTTTATATATAATTTATTATAAATTTTAATTATATATAATAAAAGTTTAGATGGTGTATTTTACGTGTTAAAATATTAATAAAAAATTATGCTAAAATCAGATAATAATGCACAATTAACTATGATTTATAACTTATAAGGATATACAAGTGATTCTAAAGAATCAAATCAAGTTGTTTTATAATTACGGTACTAAAAAGATTGATTTCAAAACAGATTGATTTGTTCAAAAACTAAAAAGATTGTTTTTAATTTTTTTAGGAAAAATAAACTTAGGTATAATTGATTGCTGATGCATGATGGGTGAGGAAGAAAATAGTATCGAAAGATTTTTTTTGCTTTATTTGAGTTTATGTAGTTCCACAAAAATTAAGCGGGATCTGCTGTAATTTTTTAAAAGTTAAAAAAAAACTTTTTTTCTAGGGGAGTTAAAAAAACTTATTAACTATTATTTCACTTATATACCTTTTCTAATTTAAAATATGTTTTTTTAGTCTTTATAAGAT